AGGGTATATGATGCGATCGAAACATCACGTGTGAAACTCCCAAATTCCTGAGCGATGATGATACTGGTAAGCCACCTCTTCCAAAAATAAACAAAAACACGGAACTGATGCTAGAAAAGTTGATCCCCCTAAATCGCCCAGTGTGAAGCTGTATTCAACTGGTGTCATGTTTTCGAGATAGTGGGCTTTGAGACAGAATGTAATTGTCTGTTTAAAGATGCCTAACATTCTACAAATATTTACCATTTTGAAAAGCTTGATTTCGATTTTTTGAAAGATGGGGCTTTCCTGGTCCAGCAGCTCACCGAAAAAACTGTTACTTTTTAACTAATATGCTGAACCATTATTAACTTGTATTTGAAGTTTTGAACCATTTCTAACAAAAAATAGATGAATGTGCAAAAATTATTGGCTCTAACGAGAGTCTTCTTTTATTGTTTCTATCGAACTTCTGGAATACATGTATATTTATTTAGACCACCTTGCGATTCTACATTTTGAAAATGTAACTGCAAAACGGATATTTCATCACTAGGGAACCATACAGATTTATGGAAAACATCATGGAAAAATCAGTTCATAAATGTTCACTACATGTACGTTTAATAGCATTTTCAAAATTGAAAATATTGATTTTCCAAAGTTTATGTGTCTGACCGGGTTGATTACAATTCATTAAGCAATAACTAATTTTTTATTTCTCAAATAATATTGACATGAAATATTCTGGTAGTGACATAAAAACCTTGAAATGTCAACAATTTTTGTCTGGACCTATTGGCTTTCAGATTTTAACTTGAACTTATAGTTTGACTAATATATTTTCTGAAAGAAAAACTTTTGTTATTATTATGGAATAAGGTTTCATTTATGCCATCCTTCTGATCCAATAGAATGGCAGTTTCTAAAAAATTATAACATCTACTTGATATCAAAATTTGATGTCCTTCAGTCATGATATAGTTGACATCAAGTAAATAATAAGGTTGCATTTCCCTGGTATATGACTTGGCATCTTTTATTTAATAGTAGATTGAGCAATGAAATGAAATATTAAATTCCTACTCTTGCAGTTTAATTAAACCATTTGACAGTGAGAAGGATCTGTATCAATGGATGTATGTCATTCCCGGAAACTGAGAAATAATTCAGCCCCCCTCCCCCCCCCCCCCGCAACTGGAAAAACCATCCACCTACATAATCAAAATCAAAAACTAGAACTCCAATAACTCAAATGTAATGATAGGCCATTATAGGTGTTGAGAAAGATTTATTAGATAATTCACATTTATTGCACATAATTAAATGTGAAAAGTTAACCTTTACACAAGCTGCTTTATCAATTGCTGAACTCCTTCATCAATTCAACAGACAAGTTGGTCAGAACCAAATCTGAAAAAATCCGTCTGCTCATGCTATTTTCTATCATTTCTCTCTAAAATTTGATTAAAGTATCTGGTTTTTGGGTATTTCTATATAATTTGGAATATTACTTTTATGTCTGGCTGGTTTATTTCCCACTATTTTCACTCTTTTCCACTCTATTTTGAATTCTAAAATGTAACCATCAAGACATTTTTCGATGGGTTATGGATAAACTCATCCTCCTACATTTCCTATAGATTAATGCAAAATGTCTAGGATCTTTTTATCTTAAGTTTTCTTTTTATTCATGATATATTAATTTAGATAAGGATATGTGTTGAAGATAAAATACATAGCAAAAAAACATTTCCTCCGGGACACATGATTTATAATACAATTTGCACGAATCAAAATAAGTGAACCTTAACTATCCATTTTTGGGAAGCAAAATTTAATGCCATCTATATTGCGGAATAACATGATAACGCATTTGATAATATTATATATTAAAAATATTGAAAATTGCTGCCTAAAAATTTACATGCACAAAAACTATTCTAGAATTTCACACAAAAAACATCCCGGGATATTTCAAATCAATCCCTCAAGTATCTGCAAGTGAGTTTGCTGTAAATCCAAGCTGATTACAATAAAATCATTATTCAAAATCATGCAGTTTTTCAAAATCTGAGCACTTTCCAAGTGATTTTGAGCCAAAGTTGTAAAATGTGAACCCCTGCAATTTTTTGAAAAGTGGGCCCCCTCAGGCCTGAGAATCCAATAGTAAATTGAGTTCATACTTTTATTTTTGCCTCCTCTCCTCCCTTAAAGGAGCATTTGATACAATAAAATGATTAAGTCAAAATTCAACCAAATGGTTCCTCCAACGATTATTTTTGAGTCTACTTTTTCAACTTCAATGTCCTGAATGACTTAATGACTCAAGCATGTTGATAGCCAAACCACAAAAACTAAAACAGAAATTAGTAATAAATAGGTTATCATTTGTTTAGATGTTTAGACTGCAAGAACAGCCAGATTTTAAAATAAACCCTCGTTCTTTGCAATCTTACTCATTCCTCTCTAAATAAAAAAAAAATATGGGTTTATGATTTAATTTCTCATTTATTGAATGTTTTCCTATCATATGCATTTTGCGTCAAACACTATAAACTGCCAAATAAAACACTTCAGTGGTCTTCCCAATTCAACATTTTCTTCTCTTTTCCGGCTTAAAGCTAGTTTTTTGGGCATTTTTATACACTTTAGAATGTTAACTAACGATTCTTCTGTTTTGTGTCTATTTCAAAACATGTCGATTATACATGACATCTTCAGTGTTTCCTGGCAACAAAGTCAGGGATTCTCTACAAGGATCTTCCTGTTTACTATCATATATGATATATTTAAAATAAGGCCACTATATGTTAATTATCTGTTTAGCTGGATTTATTTCTGAAAAAGACATATACCTCAAACGCTGTCATGTATGGGGGGGGGGGGGGGGAAATACATAATTTAAAAATAACTTATGACTTTGTAGCAAGCAGGATTATTCTTAAAAGCACTCATTCTGAGAGGCTACAAGACGTTCTTCAAAGATTACCTACTTAAATCTGAACATGTATATAAATTTAGAGATGTCACGCTGAAGAGTCAAGACAAATGACCTGATGCAACATAAAATTATACTTTGTCTTTATTACTTCAAAGAAAACATGATTTCCGCTAATAAATTTAAATGTAATAAAAAGTAGTGCCGACCACAACCTCCAAAATGGGTGCATAATTTATTATTTAAAAGTTTGCAATAAAATATATACATAATACCTCCCATATGTTGAAAACCTCCACACCAATTCATCGCCTATAAAGCTGTCATTTCCTACCATGATTTAAATTCATATTTATTTGGCACTGAATCAAAAATCATGAAATTTAATACAAAGATAATTTTTATTTTTGATGAACTTTTTAGTATATTAACACTATTATATATGTGAAATCATGTCTGGCTTTTAATTTTTTTAAAGGAAACTGTTGAACTCATATCTTAGGAAAAATAAAAAAATAAATCATAAGTAGATATTAAACACTACCAAATGGCACCCATGCAGAAAACCTCATGGTTGATCATATATATAAAAATGATTGTGCAAAGAGGATAAAGAGGGGAATAATCAAGGAATATAGTAATCAGGCACGTAAAAGTTATTCAGAAATATACCAAGAATAGAGGGTGTGATGGTTCAATCTTAAAAACATTGAAATATTGATTAGGCAAATGACAAGTTTTTTTCTGTCCAGGTTTGTCAAATTCATACGATAAATGTTGACATTTGAAAGTAATAGAGAGAACCCTGAGAAACAATATGAATAACCTCTTTTGTGATCTACTCACATCAAATTAGATTTTAGTGGTGACATTTAAACAAAATCATAGGATAAGCTAGATACACAAACAGAAGAAAAGTCAAGAAATATGTATTAGGGAGATAAATTATGTAAAGTACTGCATTGTCCAATGGACCATCTTACATAATTATGAACCTGCCCCCTTGAAATCTTTTCCCTTTGGACTATAAGTGAACTACTTTAGGCATCAGGCCTCAGAGATAAATGTATCTTTTTCTTTTGCATCATTTTAGGAAGATGGGACTCAGATAAAAAGTACATTGTCGAAATATAAAAGAAATCACAGAGATCAGCCTTAGCAATAATCTCCAAGGAATGATAAAATGAAGGTTTAAGCTTTCAACTTGAACATAACTATGATATTTATAACCATTTGGGACCTAAAGAGGTAACCTTCGCTATGGGAAATCATACCTCCATACCTCCGTAAATGTTTTGGAAACTTCAAAAGTAGACTGATTTACTATAGCATCAGAGAATCTTAATTACCCTCAAATGAATAATAAACCTATGTTTGGAATATGTCAGGGTTATATGGTTATTTACTATCAAACTGTACAGATATATGTCTCAATCAAAACGTTAAATCTATCATCATTATCAAGGATCCATGCTTTGATCCCAACAAGATCAGTGCTTTGATCCAACCTAGATCACTTCTTCAATGTCTTGATCATAGCTAGATCAGTGTCTTGATCCTACCCCCCAGATCAATGCCTTGATCCTACCTAGATCATTACCTTGATCCTACCTAGATCAATGCCTTGATCCTACCTAGATCAATACCTTGATCCTACCTAGATATTTACCTTGATCCTACCTAGATCAATGCCTCAATCTTACTTAGATCAATGCCTCGATCCTATCTAGATCATTTCTTCATTCCTTGACCATATACCTACAAATGACTCCTATTTAAACCCTTTAACTACATATCAAGAATTGTTCACTTTATATGAGTTTTACTGTATAATAAACAGTCTAAAACTGTCAGTAACTAAGGCAAAGTGTTCAATTCATACAGAGTTTACTTTGACCCAGTTTTGCATCAAGGCTTTTTATTTTGAAAACATCTCACCAAAGCCCCTAGAACTAGATAAATAGGGTAACTAAGATGGATTAATTGTTTTAAAGGGGGATTTGATGGTACTGTTGTTATTTACCTATAATATAGGTTACTTTAGGTTTGCGCCTATTTACCTATAATATAAGTTTCTTACCTTTTTTAGACTTTGCGCCAATTTTAAGCTTGGATGGCCATGTGATTTGAACGTTAGAATCTTCCATTACCTGAAAAACATATATTAGACAAAATTAACATTTATTCCAAATTACAACACTGGAAAAGATAACTGAGGAGATTTTTAAGCTTTGGTATGCATCTTTTATTCAAGCCTAGAAATATTAATAAATATATGTTATACTTGTAGTTATGCATTTCACATATGATGCACTTTTAATCCCTAATTCCTACTCAATACTTTCTCAATACTCAATACACCCTTCCTACTCAATACTTTCTCAATACTCAATATACTCTTCCAACTCAATACTCTCTTTATACATCATACTTTCTTCCTACTCAATACTTTCTCAATACACTCTTCTTACTCAATACTCAATACACTCTTCCTACTCAATACTCTCTTTATACATCATACTTTCTTCCTACTCAATACTTTCTCAATACACTCTTCTTACTCAATACTCAATACACTCAACCTACTCAATACTCTCTTTATACATCATACTTTCTTCCTACTCAATACTTTCTCAATACACTCTTCTTACTCAATACTCAATACGCTCTTCCTACTCAATACTTTCTCAATACTCAATACGCTCTTCCTACTCAATACTTTCTCAATACTCAATACACTCTTTCTACTCAATACTTTCTCAATACTCAATACATTCTTCCTACTCAATACTTTCTCAATACACTCTTCCTACTCAATTCTCTCTTTATACATCATATTTTCTTCCTACTCAATAATTTCTCAATACTCAATACACTCTTCCTACTCAATACTTTCTCAATACTCAGTACACTCAACCTACTCAATACTCTCTTTATACATCATACTTTCTTCCTACTCAATACTCATATTTTTTGTTTCTACGCAACACTTCACTAAAACCCCAATTTATTTCCTTATTCAATACTTCCCACACTCCCACCTTACCCTACTCAATACTTTCTGATTCCTTACTCAGTACTTTCAACTTACGCAATACTTATTTCAACCTTAATTATGGAATTCAGATAAGATCATAATAAAAGATATAGATGTTCTGCTATTATGGCATTGAGAAAAAACTTCCTGATTAAACAAAGCTTATAGTTCACTCATATAATCCATAACAAGAATCCAATATGTTGAAGAATGTAAAATGAGACATATGGATTAGCAATGACAATAGACAGATATTCTTTGTATCCTTTTATAATCTTTCTACTTCTATGGGGCGCCTATTAATATATCAGGTTTCAGTAAATGACAGGTCGCTTTGTGTTGAATGTTATCGTTTATTTCTTCAGTTTAATATCATATTCATATTATATTCCTAGTACCTGGTATATTGAAATTTATACCACTCTAAGTCCGATTACAGTTGTATAACATGGGTCTATAACAACGATATACAGTGGAGAGTGGTATATCGTCAGTGTATACAACTCCTCCGTATACACTCCAGCGTATACCACTGTAGAAGTGCATTCTGGGAACTAATGAATATTGACCGAAGAACGAGTTGAATGTTTTGTTACATATGATTTCCTAGAATCAAGTGACGTCATAAATGGTTCAAACATGATTTGCTAGAATCAAGTGACGTCATAAATGAATCGAGATCATAATCGGCATTACTGAGTTGGCTATGGGATATTTTTATGGTTTTTATAATGTTATGATTGTGTTTGAATCAACTGTAATTGAACTTAGAGTGGCATAATAAGATTATATAATGGTTCATTCTGTATATCGTGCATTTTATACTCTCGTGAGAATATAATATATTCACTCGTTCGCTACGCTCACTTGTGAATATATTATATACTCACTCGAGTATAAACACGATATACAGAATGAACCATTATATAACCTCATAATATATAAAATACATACTTACCATTTTCTCTATAATGAGCTCACAGTTTGTTTCCTAAATTGAAATTTAGAAAGTGTAAGATATTGAGAGATTCCAATAACCACACATATAAGAAAAAAAATATCGCTGATTTTTTTTGGTTTACTTTCTCTACCCGACTCCTGTATTTCTTTCTCTGCATTAAATATACATCTAATCATCAATCGATATCTTGGTATGTTCAATTCTTACAAAAGTTTCAAATAATCTAAACTAATACAATAAATGTCGTGTTTTCTTGAGACCATATTCATTATTAAAGTCATATGTTCGCTCATTGGAACTTTGCACTCATTGTAGGAAATCCGGTTGAAGTGTTTTTTCAGAATCTGAAACTTTAACTGCAAATTTTTCATTCTGGCTTAACTTGGTCCAATTTTTTCTCCTTTTTTCAAGTAGATAAATGGAAAAATTGCACTAAGAATTAAAAATTTAGAAAAGTTTTCACAAGTTGCTCTTGCGATTGGTGTCTCCGTAAAATGTTCAACATCTCGTTCAACATCTGCCACATCAAGTTCAGATTATTTATGAGATATGGAACTATTTGTTAATTTGAAAATATTTGTCAAATGCATTGCAATTAGATCAGTTGTCAAAAAGACTTCCACAAAATCAATTATTACAAAAAGTCAATGACCTTGTGAGATATTCAAAATAATGAAACATGTGTATCATTCTGAAAATATTAATGATACAGTGAATATGTAAATCATTCCTCAGAAGATTTATTTTAAGTTAAATCCACATTAGATAATTATTCTCAAGAAAATATACTATTATACTAAAACTACAAAGTTTGACCAGTTTTTATTATTTTGACATTTGACAAGACTTCAAATGTAGTTGTGCCTTTTTTGATCATGTAATGGTGTATGTCAATCTGAAAGATCTTCCCATAATGGACGAATTATCCGCAATAAGGTTTTCTTCGCATTTTTACAAAAACGCTTGATCTCCCAAAGCGGACAAATCTTCCGACCCATACTTACCATGAGAGTACATATACAGCTTATCTCCAACAGTAATGGTACCGTTTTGGCTATGGTACTGTACATTGGAAAATATGGTACTGTACGAACTGTAGACTAAAACAATACTGTAGGGAATCGTGAACAAACTATGGCACCATACTCGACCAGTACCATACTTTTAACGTACCTAAAAGTACCATGGTTTCAGAGTGCAGAATGGGGTATAGTATATTTTACCTACAGTCAATATTCTATTCATTATTTTGATTGATTGATTTGATTTGATTTGAAAACTATATTTATTCTGGGTATGCTTATATTATACATGGCTGCGCTCTCAACTGTCAGGTGAATGTCACAGCTCCTCTAAACAATATCGATCAGGTTAATTAGGTTATCATACATCATTTAAATCTACAGGAAATTGAGGTGTAATATTAAACCAGTGACCTAAGAAACTATAGATTGTTCTTCAGGTAAGGATAATCTATTATGTGTTTCTAAAATGTGAGTCACGAAGTATCTGATTTTTCTTGCACACTGTTCAATAACTCATTTAATAAAAAACATCAATACAATAACTCAGATACCAGAAGTTAGTAACCAGTTTCACCACCAGATGGCTAATTTGGGTCAGATAACATGGCAGATAAGTAGAAAGTTCCGTTGAACTTCAATATTCATCAGTTTTGGTGCATCAATTTTCATAAAATTAAGAAAACCAGGAAACACATGATTTATAGTTGTCATTTAAAAAATATTACTAAGACAATGCTCCGCCTGTTCTTTGGAAACGATGTTCATCTATGTAAAAAGTCCCTAAATGTGGGCTTGACATCATACAGTACTGTTATTGTTTGGCTTTTCAACATCTTTCTACTATCTTATAGAATTTTCGCATTAGTCTAGAATTTATAGATTGGTGCTAATGCCCTAATTATTGATTTTCTTTATACATGTATTTTCATACAATTGCTTATTTCCCAAATTTATCATTATAAGTATCACCACTTAAATTGATTTGAAAACTATATTTATTCTGAGCAGCTCATCTAACCTCTTGAATCCCAGGCTCTAAAATCGGTTGAAACCAGACTAAAATCGGTTGAAACCAGAGAATATTTTCTTTTTTGCCACCTTTTGACATTTTACTACATACTTATACAACTTTATATGTTCAACTTAGTATAAATTAGAGGGCAGAGATCATTTCTACACATTTTAAAACAATTTTTGTGTAAATTGGATGAAAATTGTTCAAATAAGAGCAATTTTAGTGAACAATTTTGTGACGGATTTTCTCGTCACTCTGGGTTTCAAGGTCATTCTTGAGGTGACAAGAAATCTCGTCACTTCAGGTAGTCAATCGATTAAACTCCTTGAGGGACTAAAACACTGCCTGGACCTATTATTTATATTTTTTCTTACTCATCGTGTATTTCTCATATTGAGAGGTTTTAAGATTTATAACAATGATATGGTGGTTGCATTTAGTACTTACAAACCTATTATTATCATTTCGATTTGTTTACAGCACGCCTATTATGATATATAATACCTGGTATGAGTGTTCAATATAATTGATTGAGTCCTTTTAACACTTAACAATGAATTATAAGTGATTATGATTTACCTTTTTCATTCAGAATTGACCCCTGTGGCACATACGATTAAATTACATAAAGAACATGGAACCATAAGGACTTAGAGTCCTCGGAGTAATATTCCTTTTTGTGATTTTCTGATTATTTCTAGATATATCTCCATCTTTGATAATCAATACTATAGAATCCGTGTTAGCCTCATTAGCTGGTGCCTATGAAGCTCTAACAATTGCAAAAATGCAAAAATAATATATACAAAAGTTACATAAAGAACGTGAAAAAATAATATACATTTATAGACTTAAAAACCAATGGGACTAATATTCCTTAGGGTAATCAAATCCGATTACTTATAGATATCTCTATTCTGGATGTCAGAGCCCACTGCTCTATTTCAAAGAAGCAAAATCAAATTCTGAAAAGGGTAAGAACCCATGACCCTTGAAAACCCCTTTCATGGAATCTGTGTTACCCTTTTGCATTAGTATATATAACTAAGAATGCAAAGGTGATAAAAATACAATGTTACATGAGTAATTTTCATATATTATATATCATAAAA